TGTTTTGAAAATCACGTCCACGATGAAGTTGATACAGTTTACTGGTTTTTGGATTTTGATCATCTGTAGTCGGCTTGCCAATGCCAAGCCGTGGTTCAGATGAATTTCGTGGCTTTTTATTACCACCTAACCAACGAGCCTTTCGGTGAGATGGTCAAGCTTTTCCAAGAAGCATGCTTGCAGGAATTGATTGCGAGCTACGCAATAACAATACTTGTCTGATATGAAGGAATCAGTAGTACCGATTTCTTCTGACATGCTGGTGGAACGAACCCAGGTTTGATGTGACCGACCAGTTTAACAGATATTCATTTATCAAATGCATGTACAGTTGAGCAGCCATGATAACATCGACCAGGGAAGATACTGACGTTTGAGGAACAATTGATGAACTTTCGAGGTGCTAGGTGTTGGCAGTCTAGGATTCCCTCTATTAAATACTGTAGGGTTGCCGGTCCATACAGGCACCATACAGCTGATTCATCGATGGAGAAACGAATGGGAGATTTTTCGTTATTTTTTCACAGTTGATGTGGTCACACGTGCTGTTATCTTGGAGACTTGTTCTCACGGGTCACAATCCTGGTGTGGTGTACCCAAAGATTTGGGCGGTCTACATCTGTGCAAGTCACATTGACAGTAGTATGTTTTGCAATGAGAGGAGGTTTTCGACTGGATACTGGCTAATTTGATCGCAAACTCCCAGGTCAAATTAGTTTACCTGGGCTCGTATATTAGTTGGATTGTTGCACGGTTGAGGGCATGTTCGTGTCAGCATTCATTCTTTATACTACTGGCGACTACGAACAAGTCGAGGGGAGTTGGGACGTGACTTGTATCTACACCAGTCTGTCTGCCAGTCTGTCTACTATCTCGGTATGGCTATCGTGGATAGTCCACACACAGGAATGAAACCAGGTAGTTGGTGTTGACGCTTACTTGTGATCATAAGCCTTGTATTCCGAGTGTTCCACAGAGTGTTCCACAGAGTGTTCCTTAAATGTCTGGTGAACCCGTCGCTGTAAACACACAATCGTAGATAATCGGTGGTCAGATGAGTAGCATTCAACATACTGTTGATTATCGCGGTTTATAACCGACTATTCATAGTATATTCACATCATAATGGTTGTTGCTCTCCTACAGATTCTACGAAACCACACAAATCTGGTGGAAGTAAGTGTTCACATGTTGTGTGACGGTTGAATAGCCTCGAATCGGCAGTTGGACACATTTGTCCGTTGTGAACCAAGCCTGACTGACCTAACTGGAATTTCAATCACGCAGAGGGTGATCGGCTTCCTGAGTTCCAGTGCAGGTCAATTCTGGATTTGCAACCAACAGCACCGGTGTCATTTGTAATTCTGGTAGGAAAGTGTGCGGAGATTTCAGCCAACGTGTTTCCAGCATAGATTCGGCGGAATTTCTAGTTCCCGGTGAGATCTGTTAGCGGTGAGCTGGCGCATTCCCAAAGCCGTTAGTGGTGGTGCTTTTGTAAGGTCGGCTTATGTAGTCTGTGAGCCTGTCATTCAGTGTGCCATGGTGAATATACTGAGTTTATGCGCGGTGCTATTTCAGTTCGCAGGGTAATCTGCAACCCACATGGTGCTAAACGATATTTGGACAGTGCAGATTTTAGCGCATTCATCTGTGTGTGTTTCTGTGTGTGTGTTGGGCAAAGGGTAGGATACATAAGCGATTGGCATTATCATGGCCAACATTTTGGTTGGATGTAATATAGGTTGGGAGACTCTTTAGCATATCCGTAGTGTTAGCCTCTACTTCATTGGTTACTGTGTAGCTCTCGCCGCGTTTCATTTTGTCGGCGTTGTGTACCCCTTACTTGTGGTTTATAATATCGCCTTTTGTCACCTGATTTCGAGTGTCTGCTTCGACGGGAATGCGGGTCTGTCCGGGGCCACAGTCTGTCCCCACGGATGGCAGCCGCGCGCGCTATTCGCTGGACAAATTCTTGTTGATTCTGTGTTCCACTTAATTCACGATGGTGATTCGTATAATATTTGATAGAACGAGTTATCGATAGAGCATCTGCCGACGTCATCCACCTGTTCCTACTGTCGGGGTCGTGCTACAGATTATCGTCGTCCAACCGACTAACCCCATCTTAGTATAAGACTCCCAGCTGCACTGATCATATGGTTCATCTATCCAATCCTCTCTCTCTTACTCAAGTTGGGCCTGAAGAAATTGTCTACGTTTCCTAGTTGTCGCACACTGGCGGCATTTCCACTTCAATCGGGATGTCGGACGGTGCGACATCCCGCTCACTTGATGCTCTGTTGCGTGCACATTCAAGTGAGAGCCATTAACATTATCAATTCTGTCCAGCTAAAATGCTGAGATGTAGTCTTCACTGCAATTCTCTGACTCACAGATGAAGCTCCAAAGCCTGCTTAAAATCGAGCGACAACTATGTGGGCATTGGTGTGCGGGGGATAGTTTTGGTTGGTCTTGCTGGCGCGATTTACGAACATGACCGATTTCACGGACGTGTCACTCGAAGGACGGACAAAAGTATTTCAGATGCAACCTATTGCGTAAAATTACATTGGTGTCATTAGGAGCCTCATTAATTCCTGAGTGCTGGTCACGATCGGGAACACCGCATTGATGCGCGTGAAGCACGCTGATTGAATACCTATACAGCCCTCGTTTCTGATACATTTGGAGAGCACTGATAATTCCAATAACTTGGTGGTGGAATTAAATTTTGGGACTCATGTTTTAGGTTCCGTATTCTGGGCGCCCCACTAATGGTTTGACCGTGAATCTGAGATTGCATGCGTTGAATCTTGATTGATTTTTCTAGGTTGACTATGAACGGAGATAGTCGATTTTCGGTACGCACTCTGGATGTGAATACTATCCAGTTGAGATTTACGCGGCTCATCAGTGTGTTCAGGAATTACTGACGGCAGTGCATGGACTGTTGAAGGTAACGCTCCATACACAGGTTCGGTTTGACGGTGATGTCTTTCCCATTTGAAGGTCAAGCTGTTGCTAACTAATTGGTTAATGAATTTGTCAGTTGCAACCTCACAGTATGTGGGACAGTAATGTGGGACAAACTTGTTTACGTTGTTTCAAAGAATGTCTGCCAATTTCTCAGGGTCGGTACTTCGTTGTAACTTCGCGCTCAGGGATTACCTGCCGTCGTCCCGATTGCACTTCACATGGCCTTGATTTTTACAGTTGATAGACAAGTGTTGTCAATTGGATGAGTTGACAGATTTCAATTTCGTCACCCAATTATATTTGCTGTTCTTCTGTAGAGACTACGGGACGGCCCAAATTTGTTGGAGGTAAGTGTTCACTGTGCTTTTTTGTTGCACCCCTCAAATCGGTGGTCACCAAGCAACTATTTTCAGTTAGAACAAGTGAAGTAGCACCGAGAATCTTATTGAATGGTCAGTAACGGAAATAGTTTTACCCGATGCCGTATGCATCCGTAGTTCGCCAGATCGGTTTGTTTGTTGGACGATTTTCGCTGGACGATTTTCGATGAGTGGACCTAGAGGAATCAAACACGACGTCCGTTGTTCATATAATGAAGTGATAATGTAAGCGCCTAATTTTCAGGCAGCTAGGTTCACTGTGCTCACTCAGCATCGGTACGTTGCTCAGGTTAGCAATGGGTCACTCCAAGTTTCCAGGCTGTCAAGGTGGCGGTGATGATACCACTCGTGGTGTGAGCAATTTATCCTAAATGCAGCTGATTTCGGGGTGTTGTTTGAAGAGCGATTGCAGACTGTTTGATGCACTTAATGACAAGAGTCGTTCACAGCGATTTCTGAAATGGGCATAGGTTAAATTGGTGTTATGCTTGGATGAACCATTTGAAACACAGGGAGTGCAGGAATACGTGAGTTTTCCAATGGGGTAATGTGGTCTTAAATGTGCACTTTTCACACTGGCTTGGCGTTGGTAGGCCTGAGTGGGATTGGGTCTGTTGCATCATCATCATCATCAGCTGTTATAACCGCGTGCTCGTCGCACAGTGGTTGTAGCTGCCGCATTTTCGTTCACCGATGATTTGGGGTGGGGAGGGGAGCTGATAAATTGGTGCATAAATCCAGCACTGTCAGTGGGCTGTCAACTTGGGGGGTTGGAAAATGTGTTATGCGTTGAAGGCAATAGCTTTGATGCACGAGCGCCATTGAGGGCGCGACTGGGCCATGTCTGACAATAGGGTCCCCATCCAGGAAGACGGCAGTGACCAGCGCAGCTGAGTTCGCTGGTAATGGCTTTTATACTTCGCTGCCAAGTCACTGTTTGACCACCTCTGGCTCTCTTCCACCCTTCACGTTGTTTCGCGAAAAGAGCTCTTCGAGGAAGTCGGTCGACTGGCATACGCAACACGTGGCCAAGCCAGCGCAACCTGTGTAGTGTTATCAGTTCATCTATCGAGGGTGAGTTATTTCTCCCGAATACCATTCGACGTACTTCAGAATTGCTGATCCGGTGTTCCCACCAGATTCAGGCGATTTCCGAAGACATCGATGGTCAAACACTGAAAGTCTTTTGACGTCCTCGGCGTGCAGCGGCCAGGCTTCTGATCCATATAGTAATATGGAGTGCACCGCAGCATTGTAAACTCGCCCTTGACAGAGAAGCTGATGTCACGCCCACACCACATATGACGTAGGTCTTCACTGTGTGTTATTGCTGCATCTGCTCGAATCGGTGGTCAGTCAGCAACTGTTTTCAGTGAGAACAAGTGAATCGATACCGAAAAACCTATTTAATTGTTATTAACGGGAAGAGTTTTTCCCGATGTCGTACGCATCCGCAGTTCGCCAGATCGAATTTGTCGGTTTGTTTGTTAGACGATTTTTGTGCTACCCCTTGTATCGGCGAATGGACTGAGAGGAATCGTCCATCAGTCATACTTTGACATTGTGCTGTCGTTCGTAATTTTCGCATTGAGAATTCTGTTCCCCGAAGTCTACTCTCCGCTGTAATGTCATACTGATGGATTGTTAATTGTGCCGTTCCCACCTGCAAATTATTGAGTTTTTCTCTTCCACAGGTTCCACGAAACCACACAAATCTGGTGGAGGTAAGTGTTCACATGTTGTGTGACGGTTGAATCGCCTCGAATCGGCGGTCGGACAGGTCTGTCCGCTTTCAACCAAGCCTGACTGACCGGACTGGAATTTCAATCACGCAGAGAGTGATCGGCTCACTGAGTCCCAGTGTAGATCGATTCTGGAGTAGGAAGCAACTGCACCGGTGACATTTGTAATTCTGGGGGTTTCAGCATAGATTTAGTGGAATTTCTAGTTCCTGGTCCGATCTGATAGCGGTGAGCTAGGCGCATTCCCAAATGCGATAGTGGTGCCGTTTTTAAGGGCGGCTGCTGTGGTCCGTGGACCTCTCATTCAGTGTGCCCTCGTGAATATACTGCGTTCATGTACAGTGCTATTCAGTACGCACGGAAATCCTGAAGCCTCATAATTCGAAGCGATATTTGGGAGGTGTGGATGTTAGCCTAGATATAGGCTACCATAACTTCCTGAAAATACGATCAAATTTCCTTTTGGTTGATTTGACCCGAAGAATGAAAATTCCTGGAGAAATCGAGCTATCTCCCTACCAGTTTGCCATACAACAACCGAATAAATTTTCCCAAATGTGAATACCTACTGTATTTGCACACTGTAAGATAAAGTGATACCCAACATTACCCAACCAAACAGGATAATGAGAACGTTGTCATCTGCTATCCGACTAGCACATTCACTTGAGAATAAATGTTGGGTGCAAGTGTACTTCCCCTTACTCTGCGCACAGAATTACATGATTTTCAAAGAAAATGCGTGGACTCCTCAAACCCTTGTGGGTACTTGATAATCTTTAGCGCATACTCAAAGGGCATTAGCTTTCATGTACCTCAGTTGACAGTTGCATCATATTCCCGACATGACCTTGGAATACCAAAAACGGATACGTAAGAAGTACGCTCCGTGGAACATTCCCACGTGGGTCGGTTTCCTGATTCCAATCCTAATGAGTATGTCCCTTCTCGCCATGCGGGCTAACTATATTTTCTCGTTTACTGTCACATCACATCACGACACAATTCAAAGTCAGTATTACTTGTGATTACTCGGATTTGCTGCTTTATCCTCCGGAAACGTTAAAAACCATGGTCATCTCCACTGCCGAACCTGATCATGTGGAATTCATTGCAATAGTTTACTATTTGTGACAAATGAGGGCCACTCAGTAACAAGCGGAATATCACCAAACAGGGTCGTGATATCAAAAATTTAAGTGGAGCGCTGATAGCCCCTAGAGTTACTTCAACGCTATAGTCGACCAGTTTACCAAGATATTCAGGCTTATAGAGAATGAGGCGTATCAATCAATCATGCGTTTGTCCCACCATGTAAATTCAATAAGATGGTCACTTTCGGCTTTCGAAATAGAACACTGCATCTAGTAAGCACAGTTGTCGGTGTGCCAGATATGAAGGTAGCTTACTTCTTGCTTAAGCCCATTTGTTTGAAAATCTGACTAAAAATATCACAAGCGTTGTTTCTAACTTTTTAACGTTGTTTCAAAACCACATAAGATTTCCTATGCTAACTGATATCTTCATGCGGAAAACCAAGAAGCACTGCGTTGCTGATTTATCTTTTGTGGAGATCACCAGCATCGCGCATCTCAGATATCTCTAGAAATAACCAAACATGTAGAACATAAAATTGGCGGAAACTCGGGGATTGCGCCTACCTGTTGAGCCTCAAGAAGGGCGAAATCGGTCGTCGGCTGTTGAAGAATTTTCAGCAGCCTTGTGAGTAGTGCATCACAAACAACAATAGTCCTGTTTCGTGGTTTTAACGCTGCCTTCAAGTCTGTGCATTGTGGGACATTGTGACACTTTGGTTTTTGCGAACATGATCACCCTGAAAGCGTTGCGTTCCAATTGCCGTGAGCGCAGTATTGATTTCTCGCGTGACCTTTCACTCCGACTTAGGCAATTCTAATCGCATCAGGCAAAGCTGTCCACTTCGACATTTGCTGATCAACTTCGACACTGCTATGACTAAGACATAATTACGCCACAACAGGAACACGGCCGTTCAAACGAGAGTGGTGTGGCTATGAACAAAAATACCTATCCCGCAAAACCCCAAGATTAAGGAATACTCACATGCGGCCCCCAACTCCTGTGGGTTCACCCAGGGTGTTGAATTGTGCGATGTCCATATCGAATATTCTAAGTATATTTATATTGCGTTTCGTTATGTAGTTTACACCTGCAAATTATTGAGTTTTTCTGTAAGATTGGTCAGAGCATAGCCCGAATCCCATGCTTGCGCATTAGCGGACTCGGTCAATAAACGGACTTGCTTATCTGGTTAATTGTATCAGTTATGGTGACCTCACCAAGGAAAAAAACTCATCCAGATCAAAAAGTTCACTGGCATTTATCAAGCTGCATCCCTGATGTAACGAGCGTGTCTCCAGCCCAGCTGTGAAGTCTCGAAAGCACAATTCTACGGTGCAATCCATGTTGTTATCTTTGTCAGAAAACCAGTCTCTGCGGACTGGAGACGTATGGTGTTTTTTGCATGTGAACATCAGTATCTTTTGAGCCCGCCACGAGACTGGTGGAAAGTTGGGATGAGTAATGCGATGTGCATCGAATAGACTTCGGATGAACTAACTCACCTACGATATGTGGGCTCCGTTACTCAGTACTTAGGTCAGTCGTCCGACTCCCACAAACAGCCATTTGTGCACAACTAAGTGGATAGTGAGAGCCATCTAGAGGGGTAGGGCAGTTACTTGACAGCGATGTTTGATAACCATTACCAGCAAATTCAGTTGCGCTGGTCACTCTTTTTAGCCTGGTTTGAGATGCTTGGATGACATACACTAACAATTATAGAGATTGGTTGACATGACCCGGTTGCTCCCTTAATGGCGCATCCAAGATGCGCAAGTACATCCTCCGATCACCCTAATAAAGTACCCATTGTGGCCCATGGAAGCACGCAGCAACGATTTTAGCCATTTTCTCCACTGGGTAAAATTTACCCCTATTATCCCAAATACTTGGTAAGGATCCAGTGGCAGCTATCGCCTCAGGACAACATGCATGCAACTTAGCCCCAGAAGAAGAAGAAGATGATGATGGTGTTGATGATGATGATGGTGACCATATGAGCTCATAGAATACGGAATGTCTATTATGGTCCGGTTTTACTTTTCTTCTGCTTATCCGCTTGCTCCATCAGGCCAGAACAGTGGTGCTCTCTAGTCGAACAACGATTCTTTGTCTACAGACGCACTAGTATATCTTTCATAGAGGTTTGTGAAAATGTGATGTTAGATTGCACCGTGACTATGTTACTACTTGATCTGAACGAGACACTTTGAAATTGCAATGTTAAATTTCAACCGAGACCAAACTATGGTCAACATGCAGCGAATGTGTCTACACTTGACATTGCACAGTATAGGTTTTGGTGTTCAGCATATTAAAATGACCGCAAGTTGTAAATTGGAGCTAGACAACACGACATGAAGGCAAGCTGTGACCTGCATTTGAACAACTGTATGAATTGTGTGATATGTCTGTCAGACAGCGCAACATACTTACAACATACTTACTTACAACATAGTTTCAGAAAAATTCGCATAAAGTGATTAAATGATGTGAAGCTCACATGTGTGCGAGAACATGTGACAAATCGCAACAGAGCGCCGGAATTTATGGTGAGAATTCCGCTTGATATATTGCTCTATGATGCGCCTCCTCTGGAACATCAACCACAACATCTTCACAAGAAATCCCATTTTCACATTACCAACAGTCTATAAGTAGCTCAGTGGGAGAATAAACTCCACCCGATGAGTGAAACTTCCATTTGAGAAGTCGTTGCTCGTGGAGCCAGTCAACACGTGTAACCACTTGATGTCGATCCCGTGACTGAAGGATTAGCGGCGCTATATCCTGCCTAAGTGCGAGTTAATCACACTGCTGATCAGCTGCCCGTGGCCGAACGGTTAAATGTCCAAACTACTAGCCAGGAGGTCGCGGGTTCAAGACTCTCCGGAGTTTCGTGAGATGCGCACTCCTGATGATTTCCAATAAGGATGAAACAGCTGTACAGTGCTTCTCAGCTTTTCAGCATAGATTGGCTTCACCTGCAGGACAAAATCTCCACAGAAAGGTTTCTGGCATAGGCTGACTGCACTTGCAGGCTGCAAGTCCGCAACGCCTGCTTGTCGCATACGTCTTTACACACAGTTAGAAGCCAATCGCAGTGATTTTGGGTTTTTTACGTAATCAGCTCGCCAAAGACAAAGCGTCGCAGTTGAGCGCACTTCCACCTATGGTTCTCGTGTAATATGTCAGCTTATACAAGACTGATACGAATAGAGGAATTTTCAGTGCATACTTTCAGGTGTCACAGCAAACTTTGCTCAATTCAGTATGACGTTTGTGGACAGTTTTCAGAGCCAGGAATGATTGTTTACAATATTTATCACACGGTCAATCGTTAAAATGCAAGGGCACAAAGGAGTGCCACACAATGTCACAATGTCAAGCTAAACATACATGGTCTTGTGGCTGTGATACGGCGATTAGTTCCGGGATATTCACACATGTTCACGCTATACCGCGCTGCATCATCTACTGAGAGGTATTGAAAGCATGTTACCGGTTTGCCTAGCGAATGCAGCCCATTTCTGGGTGGTGTTTGGAGGGCAGTTATAAGTTGTTTGATGCACTCAATTGCAGTAAGTAGTTCACGAAGATTTCTGCGATGGGCTGTCATGACTGTAAAAATTTAGACACGGCGCGAAAACAGCAGTGTGTGATTTTTTCAACGAAGCGCTGTGGTCTTTAGTTTGTACATTTCAGGTTGGAACGTACTACAAGCAAAGTTTAATTGGAATCTTTGTTTAACTTTCTAACTGTGGCCTGTTTTGGAATAATACACGCAACAGTGAATCAACAATTGATATACAGCTGACAGATCCGAGTGGGATGCCTCCAACTATGGGTAGATTTCAGTAGAAAATATGCGGAGCACACATAATTATGGCAGTATTACAGAGCTGCACGTCTGAGGTGAACAATACCGGTGATATAGGTAGAAGGACAGTCTAAATCCCAACGCCTACTAAT